CCTGCTCCCTCCCACCCAAGGAATGAGTCATCCTATTGTCCTGCGTAGCCACACGGTAGCCACACTGTAGATGCTCCCCGCCTGTTACTCACTAAGACCCGTCAGTTATCGGTTATCGGACTGGCCGTGGAGGTGCTGCACGCAGAGCCCGTGTTCAGGTAACCCTTATTTTACTTAAAGTCTCATTCACCTCACTTCATCTCATCACGTGGGCATTTTAACATCTCACATCACGAAAAGAAGGATGAGTACAGTACAATAAGGGATTTTGAGAGAGACCACATTCACATGACTTTTATTACAGTATCTTGTTATAATTGTTCTCTTTCATTATTAGTTATCATCTCTTACTGTGTCTAATTTATAAGTTAAACTTTATCACAGGTTTGTACTCATAGGAAAATATGTATGTTCACTGTGTTTGGTGCTGTCCATGGTTTGGGGCATCCACTGAGGGTCTTGGCACGTGCCCCGTGGATAAGGGGGGACTGCTGCGTATCGAAGCTCTCCCGTTGGCTTTTAAAATGAGTTCACTCTGGATTTTTGTCAGTTTGCCTCCTGGCGCTGCTTCTTAGTCCTCATTCAGACCTCAGACAAAAGTCGATAGAAGCAGTGTGACATAGAAGACCGAGCCTGGACCGGAGTCGACGAGGAAAGCTGCAGGTGTTGTGATAGGTTAGCCCTGTGTCCACGCCGCCTGGCGGAGGTGGGTGGCTGGGAACCGGGAGCCTGAGGGGAGGACCCTGGGCAACAGAGGGCTCATACCGACAGTGAGGACGTGTGGGACGAAGGGGGACAGAGCATCAGAATGGCACTAAGTCGGATCTGTAGGATCGATAGGATGATTGTATCGCCCCGATGGAGGAAACTGGCAAGAATAGCCAGGACAGCGACAGCCGCTGCGGGGGGGACGATCATCCCACGTGGGGCGAGAGGCATGTGAGTGGGAAACGTGCGCTGGGGGGTTATTATCGTAGCAAGTGTTCGCTGGGCGCCTCTCATGTCCAGAGTGCCCTGGGGGTGGGTAGACCACAGCTCCTGTGTCCAGGGAGCCTAGGTAGAGTGAGTCTGTGGGAGTAGAGCAGCGGGCGAGTGGAGTCTTCAGGGACGCCTCGATGGGACACGGGAGGGCGAGCCGGAGGAGCGGCAGCAGCACCCATCGCACCGGAGGGCGGCTGGCAGCAGAGAAGCCCCGCGAGGGCGGGCGGCGTGCTGTGCGCGGCGTCACTGCCCTGCCCCCCGCGTTGCCCGCCCGGGTCTCCAGCTGCTTCCTGGATATGGCGGTGGATGAATAAATCAGCGGGAGAAGGTCTAGGGGAAGGAAGACGAAGATGCGCCCTTTGGATGCGGCTCACAGCCATTGCCGGCCAACTCAGAGCTGTTTCAGGAGGACGGATGGAGGATCGGGGTACAATCGAGAGGGAGGGAGCAGCAGCGTATACAGACCGCCCCTTCGATAAGTGTAGGCAGGAGTTAGCGGGGAGAAACCGGACAGGGGTGGCTGGGAGAGTTAGGTAAAGCCTTTCACTTGGGAGCCCGTGATCTCTGAGGGACATGGCTGGAGTGGCCGTCATGGGTGGCCAGGATGTTAATGAAGATGAAGGATGATGTCGCTGGCAGAGTGGGGACGAGACTGAAACTTGGCCTACCAGGTGCCAGAGGCTTTACATGGGGAACCTCGATTCATGCTCACAGCCACCCTAGGAAGGGCTCATGCTAAATGGCCTCATTTTACAGGGGGAGACACAGAAGCTCGGAGAGGGGAACGTCTGCCCCACGGCGTCTCAGTCAGGAAGCACACATAGGGTCAGCCCAGGTGTGTGGGGCCTGGGCCACCTGCCTCCAGGATGTCCCAGCAGCACTGAGGCAGAATTAGCTAGAAATTGGGCTGGAAAGGGCAGTCAAGAACCATGGGCTGGAAGGCAGAAGAAAGCACAGGAGTTGTGGAATAAGCCGCTTTATTTCGATTTAAAGGATGAGAAGACCTGAGGCTTCCAGGGGACCCCGCCCTGCTCAGGTGACCGCCAGTCAGCCAGCAGTGGCCTGAGATGCCAGCCCCATTTCGCCCGCCTGCCTGTGAGCCGTGCGGCGTAGGCCGCGCTCTGTCCTGCTCCCCTCCGAGAGCGTCCTGTCCTCTTCCTGGGAGAGGCGAGGACGTCGGGTTTTGGAACTGCGGGCAGCGCTGAGAGCCAGCTCCCATTCCTCCGGCGTACCTGGAGCCGTGCTGGGAGCCTTCACACTGGTAGCCTGCCCCCTGCTCCCAGCGCCCCTGTTCTGCGCAGGTCACAGATGTGGTTGCAGGCAGGTTTAATAATTTGACTGAGGCCACACAGCTACGCTGATAAAACCTGGGGTGGGAACCCGGCTCCAGATACCGTATCTGCTCACATCTTTAGATCAGCCCTGTGACGGGTTGATTTGCCCCCATTTGACAAATGAAGGTGCTGAGGCCAAAAGCCAGGGGCTTCTCCCAGGCTCTACTAGACAGGGAGGAGCTTCGGCCAGAACCCAGTCTCCGTCGGCTCGCAGTGGGCCTTCGATGGCACGGGAGAGATGGAACGATGAGTCACGACCTCCGGGACCAGGAAGGCCAGCCCTGGGTCACAGGCCAAGGAGGTGAATGTACCTCACGGCTGGCAGCGCGAATGGTGAGGGGGAAGGTGCCCTGAGCCCTCGAGGCGGGGGGCTGCGTTGTTTGTGGTGCTTCTCAGGCTGCTCCTCCGGACTCGCAGGTGGCAGCTGGGGTCTGGGCGCTGGGCCCCCTCCCAGCAGGGTAGGAGCATGGCATTTGCAGGTCCTTTGTCTTCCCTTCCCACTTATCTCGCCAGCTCTGTGTGCAGTGTCAGCTTCCTGGGGATCTGGACGGAGGCGGCCCGTGGGGCGGAGGCCAGCTCTGGGGGTGAGGGGTGCAGGGCGAGGCATGAAGTGCACATCTCGGTTTTCTAGAAGTAAAAAATTAGCGTGCGGGGCTCAGGAAGGTCTTGGAAATGTTTCCAATTTATTTTTATTGCCAGGCGGTATCTAATGAAAATGCGGGAAAAGACCCAGGAGCCTGCAGCTCGTAAATCACCTGCTCGCTTTTTCTGAGGTTCCTTCTTAACTCTTGTCCTTACATAAGCGATTTTATATGGTTGTAACGGTAATGGAGATTCATTGTGTCTCCACAGTCCTGGAACCTGCTTTTTAAATTTACCCATCCTATCATAAAAAGTTCCGTTCTTCATAATTGTCATTTTAAACAGCTATCCGATATTTCTTTGGGTGGATCAACAGTGTTTTCCTTACCTATTCCTCTGTTTTGGAAGGGATTTAGGTCGTTTCTAGCTTTTTACTGTTATAAACAATGCGGTAATAAGTTTTTTTCTTTAAAAAAGAAATTAGTTCCCTGAGATAAATTCTCATGAATTTGGGAACCAGGAATGAAAGAGACGGAGAATTTTTCTTTCTTTCTTTTTTTTAAATTTGGCCATTGGAAACTCTGAGTAAATCCCTTAAAAGCCACTTTCTTGGGTATTGTTCTTTTGTAACCAGTGAAGAGTGGGGGCTGGGCATCGTGTCTAGGGCCCTGAGAAGCCGCCTGCTCCCGCCTGAACCCACGGGGCCAGGCTGTGTCCGGAAATGGCCCAGGGCCAGGTCTCACCCACCTCTGGCTTTCCCACTGCCGCGTGTGGTAGGGGCTTGGTTTGCGCGGCCCCTGCCTGTGCCCCTCCCAGATGCCTGGGGAAGCTTGGGGCTGCATGAGCGGAGCATTCAGCATCCAGACGCTTCACCCTCACCCCACTCCCTTGTTCTAGTTCGAGACCCCAGGGGAGGCGGCCGCTGTCATTTATCTTCCAGCCGCTTTCGGCTGGCTTTGAAGGTTGACATGTTTTGTTTTGTTTTTTTCCCTTTCCCCAGAATTTGTTCCTGGTGAAGGGTGGCGCCTGGTTCCCAGACCCCGTGAGGTTTGAGGATTCCAGAAGGTGAAGTTCTCTGTCTCTAAGGAGAAACGGTACCTGCTCCTTCAACAAGAGCGAGCTCTCTATTGCTATGGATACCGAATCCACGTATTCTGGATATTCTTACTATTCGAGTCATTCGAAAAAATCTCACAGACAAGGGTATGTAAGCTGTGCCTTGTTTTTTTCCTTTGGGAGAAACTGCAGGTTGCTGGGGCGTTGTAGATTCACTTTCGAAACAGTGACGGGGCTGTTGGTGCTGGGGGTTTGTTTTGTTGGCGGTGCATGAGAAGCTGAGCTTGAAGAGCATTTAGCATGCGTCGGGAGTAACTACGCCACCAGTTGACATTTTATAGCTGCCATTACAGTTGATGACATTAATTTCTCGCAATTGATTTTGAATTAAAGTTTCCCCCTGCAGTGGAAACGTCTTTCATTGCCAAGTACTCCTCGTAGAAGACGGTTCTCCCAAAGATATACCAAGGATGTAAATGAAAAAACATTTCTTTTTAAAGTGTTAATTTGTTGCTTTTCACCCAAAGCTGCTGACTCAGTGTCCATTAAGCATTTGCTACGAGGCTTATACATTGAAGCCTGTGGCACTGGCCTGGTGCCTTATTTCTCGACGACTAGTCTTCCGGTCGAGCAAGCCTGGGGTTTGAAAACGCTGTCCTGGGTGCTGGCGGCCAGCCCCTCCATGAGCAGCATGAACAGGTGTGCGCTGGCGTTTGTAGAGCCTGCCGTGTCGCAGACCCTCGGGCTGGTGAGTGAAGGAACAAGGGATGAACGAATAAAGAGGCGGCACTGAGCTGGTTAAGAAGGCAGGTGGTGAAATCATAGTGCCTCCACTTACTCAGACTGCTCAGCTGCGCAATGCAATGGGTGTAGCAGTACCCTCCTTACAGAGCTGTTGAGAAGAGGAAAGATTATACATAGAAAGCATTTAACATAGCACAGAGTAGGAGGTCACTAGCCAGTGGCTGTATTAATGCTATTAAGGACCTTTCAACACCACATTCAAAGGCCTGAACTGGCCACAACCCAAAGGCCCACCTGTGGTCACAGCCCTGCGCGGGCTGGGAAGGGTGGCCGTAACAGTGGTTCCCTGACCAAGCGGTGCCTCATGCCGACTGCGGAGTATCTCGTTTTGTAAAACAGCAGTAAGATCTGTGTATCTACTGAACTTACTTATTTGCGATCCCGTATGGCTGGAAAGAGGTCTGGAAGGGTATACTGCCAGCTGCCAGGAGTGGCCATCCACAGGGAAGGACACGAGACGGTGACCGACAGGAATGGCCATTTCTACTTCATCTTTCTGTACTTGTTCAGTCTTTTCTAAGGGTGTATTTTGCAATGAAAAATATGAATGGAATACAAGGGTGTAAAAGACAGGTTTTCAAAGCTTGCTTAATGGCATGAGTGCATGTTCATGAGGCCATGTTATAAAAAACAAGATTCAGAAGCGTGTACCTTATAATAGTTACGTGTTCTTATAAAATGAATGTTAACATAGTGACCATGTCCGTCTCTGAATATAGGTTTATTAGGATTCTGGGTGAGATTTTTTTTAAAAACTTTCCTTATTTCTCTAGTTTTCATGGATTGCCGTTCTAATCATAAAAATTGGGGGAAAGGATATAAATGTGTTTGTGCTGGAGGCCAGGTGAGCCTTTCTCGTCAGCACGGGGAACAGAGGGGAGTGTGCCAGGTGAGCCTGAAGTAGCACACCTGAGTCCAGATCCTGAGGAAGTCACATACCGTCTGGTGTTAAAAATGTCATCACAAACTTCAGCTATTGGGTAAACAAGTCAGATTAGTTATAAAACCCCAGAAACAGCTCTTTTAAAATATCAGATCTTTGACCCTAACTAGAAAAAGCAATTCCTTGTCAAAACGCCAAGCTTCTCTTTCGCACACCACAATGGCAGAAGTCAAAATTTGGGGTTCTCTGGGTGTTTGAGGATGAATAAAGGAGGACACCTTGCCAGTGTCCTGAGCAGGAACCAGCTCTGGGCTCCTTTACCTACAGACCCGTGTCCCAACTGTCACCCTTCAGGGCCCGTACTGTGCCCTACTGTTTCCTCAGGCCTCTTGGGGGCCCCCCAGAAATTGGTACAGGACTGCAGAGCCCTTGTAGAAACTTTGAGGGACTGTAACTTTCAATTAAAACAGCCTGCAGAACTCTTAGTACCTCTGGGACTCGTGTGAAAAGTCCTTGGCAAACGACAATTCAGGCTGAGACTTTGAATAAATTCATCAAGGAATGTTACTGAATGCCTACTCCGGAAAGCTCTGGGTGAACGCGTGACCCGTAAAGATTGACAGGTGCACACCACGGTTCTTCAGAAGAGACCAGCAGCCACGTGTGGCGAGTTCTCTGACTGGGGGCCCCCGGGGGACGTTGTCGCTGGAGCCACGCTGGACGCCTTAGAGCATGTGTGCCCGGGGCGTAAAGACCTTTAAGCGGTGCTAGGACCCCTCCACTGGCATCTGAGCAGGCCCTGGACCCAGCCGAGGGTACCGTATCACCCAGGGGTGTCCCTGTGAAGGCTGCTTTGCTCAGGGATTTGTTGGGAATTTGAATGGAAGTGGAGGGAAGGGGAGGCACCTGGCTTTTTGGTGATTTTAGCAGGATTCTGACGCTGAGGAATAATGAAGGGCACCAAACTCCATGTGCCTGATGATGCTGCGGTCATCTTTGGCGGACTGGCTGGGTTCCAAACAGATGACAGGTGGCTCTTTTCTTAACAAAGAGGTTCGTGGTCTGGTTTTATGACGTCTGCCAGCTCCAGAGGATGTCCGGTTAACCTGCTGCGGAATGGCCCCAGCCGACCTCGCCTAACCTGTGGGTTTGGAGCATCCGTTCCCCAGGTGAAATATGGCAGCGGCCACCTGCAGAGCCCCTGCTCGGACCTCAGCCGTCATCCCCCCCATCCTCGCAGAGTCACAGGACAGTGGGAGGCGGTGCTGCCATGTCGGCAGGTGACGAAACTGAGGGGCAGTGGCAGCATTTTGCTTTGCCGAAGTTCCAGGGCTGGGAGGGCTCCTCTGGTTCCGGGCCGACTTGCTGGTCCTTCGGACGCTCATGCTTTCCCCTGGGCTGGGTGGGGAGCAGCGGGAGTCGCTGGGAGGGGGACAGAGGAGAGGAAGCAGCCGCCAGGCCCCAGCCGTCGGCAGAGAGAAAGGGCAGGTGGCGGGCGGTGGTGGAGAAGGAAAGGGAGGAGTAGCCGGCTTTCCCCAAATAGAAATAGCAAACAACAGAGACTCCTCCTAGGAAGCGCCTCCCGTAATGGGAATGTGGTGGTCGCTGACCAGGCTTCTGGCTGGGGCGAGGGGGGCTTTACGGCAGCCCCCAGGGGCCCGGCTCCAGAATCACCTCCGCGGATGCACACGCGCAGGTTCAGACACGCGCCCGGCCTCCTGCGAGCCGTTGCCTGCTCGGCCCACCCCTCTCGCGTGCACATACATGTGCACAGATACACCGATCTTTCCTCATGTGGGCAGATGGTGCGTGGAAGCAAACCCAGGGGTGAAGATACCTGAGCCGACACACCTGCCCGCACGGGCCAGGCGCACAGGCGACCCAGACCGCTTGGGCAGTGTCGGAAAAACACCCAAGTGTGCACGTGTTTGTGACACCCCTTTCGAGGGGTTTGGTCGCCTCGCTCCCCTGGTCTCCTCTTTGTCCTCCTGGACACTGATGGTCTTCAGCACTGAGCAGCCCTCTCCCGTAGGGCACTTAGCATGTCCTCGGAGTGACAGCACTTGGAGCCGCGGGGGCGAATATTTGGGGACCTGCGGCAATAACGCAGCCAGCCATGCTGTGGCTCGTAGCTCCGTAAACCCGAAAGCACTGCCGGGTCGTATTTTTGTTGGGCTCCCTCCTTCGTACTGGCTCAGCGACCTCCTTGGAGCAGTAATTCAGGACCGGTGCTTTGTAGAAGAGCCGTGTGCCAGTTCCTGCTCCCTTGACAAGGACCAGCACAAGTCACAGCCCACGTTGGGTTAAATAGGATGTTCGTTACATTTGCCCTTCACTTACCAGGACAGGGGAGGCACTGGGCTCTGGGTGTCCCTTGGTCCCGACGCATGCTGTCCCGAGCCTTTCTTCCAGCCTCATTCACCGAATGTTGTTTTAGTAAAGAAGCCACGGGATGTTGCAACGTTGTCCAGCTGGGTATTATACTCATGGCTCTCACGGTTGAGTCCCTGCTGTATACAGGTCAACTTCCGGAGAACGTTTGGGCTGGGGAGCCTTGGGGAGCCTTTCCTGGACTGCCTTCCCCTGGGGTGCGGGCGGGAAAATGCGGGTTCCTCTCGTCTCCCTTCCACACGCGTTTTCCCAGACCCACGTGCCAGTGCCTTCTCTGCACGCTCAGCTTTGACGAGCACTGGGTTAGGGTTTCCGTGTCTCCCTTCCACACGCGTTTTCCGAGGGCGTCTGCGCCCAGACCCACGTGCCAGTGCCTTCTCTGCGCGCTCAGCTTTGACGAGCACTGGGTTAGGGTTTCCGGCTCTGGGCAGGAGGAACCTTCCTGGGGTCATCAGATAACGGTCTCTTATCTGGTTTACCTCAGATGTGAGTTATCAGGGGAATTGCTAGACTGTCTCTTCTCCTTTGAGTGCTGTTGGGCCCTTCAAGAGCCAGGCCGGGTGGGTCGAGGGTTGAAGCGATGGTGGGTCCTAGAGAGGCGGTATCCAGCCCAGGGTAGTTAGTTCCCCACCTGCCTTCCGCCTTGGGCGTGTCCAGGCTCCAGGAATTGGCACTCAGTGAAAGAATTTTGCTTTCCAGTGGAATTTGTGCTGTCACAGGATTTGACCCATGGGACTGGTGACTAGATAGATGGGTTAGGGAAGCATGTGACTTGGCTGATGGCAGAGAGAGGGCTGGATGTGACAGCAGCTGGGAAAAGTGGGAACAGGAAGATCGAAGAGGAGGCTCCTGGGTCTGGCCAGGGGGCTGGGAGCAGTGGTTCTAGGCTTCGTCTAAACAGTTCGCTCTGGACACTGGCCAGGCACGTGGGAGGTCGCGCCCAAGCTGTTTGTTGTTTCTCGCGGTGAGTCCTTTAGAAGCGATCGTTTTGGCAGCCCAGCGTGCTGGGCACATCGCTTCACGCTATCCGAGGTCACAGCCTAATCGTGACTCCCAGCGGCAGCTTCGGGGGCATATTTCGTAGCGCTGATAGGTTATCAGGTGTAGGGTGTTTGGGTGAGCATTAGGCATATTTATGCTACAGAATCTTCCAGTGGCTCCTCAGATCCACGCGGCACAGCAGGCGTGGGTCGGGGCAGCAGAAGCAGACCTGGGTTCAGATCTTGCCCTGCCGCTTTCTGTGACTTCGAGAAGTCGCTTAAGCTCTGTGAGCCTCAGTTTCCTCGTCTGTAAAACGGGGACAGTAATACCAGGCTTATAAGATTATTGTTGGGATTGAGTGGAAATATCATGAAGCACTTAGTAAAGAGCTCTAAGAAGCGGGGTGGGGAGTAGAATGGGGTGGTTGGCATGGATAGGTATTTCTCAGATCTCTCAGTAATTTCCTTAGTTGCCTGGTTGAGCAGAATACATCTCTTTCTAGACGCTAGTTATACTAGGCATAATGATAAGTTGTCTGGGGATTAGAGATGCTATCACTGAGCCTCTGCTCTTTCAAAGCCTTAACCACTGCTTATCCTTGGGAAGTACTGATAAGGTAGGAGTGGCCACAGGAAGTCTGAGTGTGGTTTTGTTAGCTAGAGAGCAGGTTGATAGGAGATTGCTGTGGAGGGGAAGGGGCTTCCTGTGTTGATAGTTCCTTTTACATCTTTTTCTGCGGGGTACACACAGTTTGCTTCACCAAGTCCAGTCACCACTCTTTGCCCTTGACAGACAGTACTAGTGCGAGTAACAGTGTACCGAGCACACCCCAGTACTGAGCTCCGTGTGCGTTACCTGTGTGCTGGTATCATCCCCCCCACCCCCATCTCATACATGAGGACACTGAGGTTTCCAGCGGTTAAATAACTTGTACAAGGCCATACGTCTAGGAGGAACAGAACTGAGATCTGACTGTTTGTCCCCAAAGTCTGTGTGCCTGGGAGACTTGAGAGTGAGGGTAAATGGTTGAAGGAAGGAGAACCGATGTCGAGCTGGCCTGTGGGACCAGGGGTTGAGGAGACTTACTCTTGGCCACGGAGGGGCCCCTTTGGTTGGGCTGACCGTTCACAGTTTGTGGGTGGGAGTGCCAGTTCCCACAGGTGTTAATGCGCAGGTTATGACCTCTGAGCTTTGCGCAGTGATTGGTTCCTGTTGTAATTTGTAGATGGAGCCATGGCGGAACGCTTTCACAATCACCCCGGAAAGACCTCCCAGGAAACTCATTTGGAGTAAAATGATGCAGCAGCCTGCTGGATGTCTGGAAACACACGCGCGCACGCACACACACACACGTACACGCACGCACACTCCTCCCTTGGTGTCATTTGTCCTGGCTTTTGTTTGTTCTCTGGGTGTCTTCGAGTTCAGGTAGAGCCTGTGGGAATGACTTTTAGTTTGAATTTGTAGGAATAAGAAGTAAATGATTCTCCATGCTGGTTTAGAATTTCCTTTTTTCTCTGCTTGTCCAAAGGTGTAGGGTGACAGTGTGTCCTAGATTTTTTTTTTTTTTTGGACAGACCAAAGCTTAAATATTTTGCAGTGTTGTCTCAATAATAATAATAAAAAAGTCTTAGAAAATAAGTTTGGGCAAATTATAACCAAATCCAGGCAATAATTTTACAATAAAAATTATGTGCCTTAGCTACAGGAATTCTAAAATTCACAGTGTTAGGCTTTTAAAAAATGTGGTCACTGTCGATCGAGCGGGAGTGACCGTCTTGGTTTCGGGTCCTGGAATGGCAGAAAGAACGTGCTGAAGGGGAGGTAAGGGCCAGCTTACCCGGCGAAGGGGGTGGTGACGGGTGGGCGTTGGCACCGTGCGTGTGTAATTTTCCTAGAGTCAACATGAAATTTACATTATATTGGATGAGAGTAGTTAACGTGGCATACATGCGCTAACTGATTATCTTTTCTTTTTTTCAGGGAGAGAAATAGAGAGAGACATAAATCCCCCCGGAATAAAGATGGCAGAGGGTCAGAAAAATCTGTCACCATTCAGGCTCCCCCTGGAGAGCCCCTGTTGGCCAATGACTCTGCCCAGACGGAGGAAGTTCAGGTAGGGATCCAAGGCAGCCTGTAAGCACAGCGCTACTCGATCAAGACCCCTTTCCACAAATGTTTTCCTCAGCCTTGTTGTAATAGGTTCTCCTGGGTTTTTAGCTTTGTTTTTCCAGCATGTGAATGAGTTTATCTATGTCCCGTGGTTTGTTGTTGGTCTGAGGACAGCCCGTCCTGCCATTCGTTGCCTAGTTTGTGGATTCTTCTGAAGCGTGATTGGTGGGCCTGCTTTGCATGGTGTTGAAAAGAAGCCAGCAAGGCTGGATGGCCGTGACAGGCCAGAGAAGGGAAGAGTTACAGGCTGCAGTCTCTGGAGACGCGTTTCAAAGTGGAACAGGATAAGAGAGGGAAGGACGCTCTCTCCAGAATTCTTTAGTCGTGTGAGGAAGAGTGAGCATCGCTAGTAGACATTCGCAGTGAACCTGGGGGTCTGTGCACTTAGACGCCTGGTAGGAAAACAGAGATAAACCAAATAGGCCCTGAGCCACAACGAAGGGGCCAACATATACCAGGCGGACTTAGGGGTGAGTAGGGCTCTGAAGCTGTGGCATGGAGTGCGGGGGTCCGTGGCACCCCAGAGAATGCATTTCCTCTGTCAGCTCCTCAGTTCCAGACACTTCTTACTGCTCAAGAATTCAGTGTTCCTGGGTCTTGCAATGTTTAAGAAATGCCAGAGGTTAGGATTTTAAGGGAAATCACCCACTTTTTAAATACAGTTGACCCGTGGACAACACAATATGAACTGCGCAGGTACACTTACATGCAGATGTTTTTAAATAAATAAGTACATTACTGTGAATGTGTTTTCTCTTATGATTTTCTTGATAACTTTTCTCTAGCTTAATTGTAAGAAAAATATAATGTATATAATATACAAAATGTGTGTTAATCGACTGTTTATGTTATTAGTAAGGCTTCTGATCAACAGTGGGCTGTGAGTGGTCACGTTTTTGGGGAGTTAAAGGTTATATGTAGATTTTTGACTGTGTGCAGGGTTGTTCAAGGGTCAACTGTATTGACAATTCGTTAATTAAAAAAAAAACCACTGTGTGGGTGGTTCTCCCTGGGTCCTAACTGTCTGGCAGCCCACCTGATTTATGTAAACATCTGAGCTATACTCAAAAACATGTTTGCATACTCTCCACAGCTCTTGAAATATGTGCAAGTCCAGACTTGGCCCCAAATAAACCGACGTATGCACACACAGCTGTAAAGATATAGGGCTGTGGATAAGCATATATCTGTGTGTACACACAGATAGACATTTATAAGCAGATAGATGGACCGAAATTAGAATTTCTCAGAGCATAAAGGTGCTCTTGGAACCCAAGGCTGCAGCCGCGGGATGCATGTGGGGTTTGTCCGGGGACGAGTAAAGGTCTTTAGTCCTGACTGTTGCACTGCCCGCCTTGGCTCCGGGAGGGTCCGAGGGATGGTTGGGTGGTTTGGTGGAAGGGGCCGGTCCTAAGATCGAACCACCTCGCAGTGCTGCAGGAAGTCAATTTCCTTCTGAATGTGGATCCAGAGGTGCCGGTGGCTCACTGTGAAGCTGTTTCTTGTTTGCGGCGTCTCTGCATCTCGTAGCATGCTGGGAAGCTACGTTGGGAAGCCGTCGATGTTCACACCAGGGGATGTGCCGGGTAGAGCATTGAAACTGGCGGGCGTTTGGAAGCCGTCTTCCTCAGTAGCCGTGTGCCCCTGGGCAGGCACACCCTTGGTGGGCCTCAGTTTCTTCATAGAAAATCTAGGGGACTGGATTAAAGGATCTTAGATCCTTTCTGTTCTAAGAACGTCCAGCCTTGACAGAGCCCTTTGGATGTCTACATTTTTTTTTTTTTGCATAGATAGACACCCATTCTTAAAATGGACAGGGGATTTAATTAGCAACTCTTTGGCAAGAAAAAAGGCGAGTAGCTAAATCAGCACAGTGTAGTGGCCAACGAAATGACTAGGAGATACTCGTAGTAATTATTTCAGCATTGATTGTCGACTGAATATTAGGCCCGATACAAAACGTGGAGTCTAGTATTTGCCTTCACTACAAGTGTTACAAAGTAGGTAGCCTGCGAACTCACCTTATAATAAAGCAAGTTGTCCATCTTTGAATTTGTAGCTATTTTTTCCCCTGCTGCTGATTTTTTTTCTTTTTTAAAAATTGAAATAAATTTGTACCCAGAGAAATAAAGAGGTCTAAAGTGTACAGTTTGATGTTTTAACAGCTAAATAAACCCATATAACTCATTCCTATGAATCCATATACTGTATTTCTGTTACTAGAAAGTTCTCTCATGCTCTTCACAGTCAATTCCTGTTCCCCACCCCCACCTCTCCAAAGCAAGCCCTGTTTTGATTTCTGTCACTGTAGATCAGTTTTGCCTGCTTCAGAATTTAATGTAATTAGAATCATATTCTTTTGTTTTGGACTCTTTTCTACTCAGCATACTGGTTTTGAGATTTATCCACGTTTTGGTGTGTTTCCACAATTCATTCTTTTTGTTTTTGCTGCATAGTATTCCGTTTTATGAATACACCGCAGTGTGTTATCCATTCTCCCGACGGACAGACATTTGGGTTGCACTGTTTTGGGCTCTTATGCATAAAGCTGTTAAGTATATATTTACGTTTATATGAGACTGCCAGACCGGTTTCCAGGAGTAATTTACACTTCCACTCGAAGTAGCTGAGAGTCTTGGTTGCTTCTAATGATTGTCTTAAATAGCCATTTCTCTCATGGTATGTGATACCTGTAACTTTCCACGTCAAAGAACTATTTCTTCATAGGTCAGGACCTTTGCCACCACCACTGCCTTTGCCATCGCCTGCACGTGTCATAAATCATATTTTTTATCCTGAAGATTTTTACCCTGAAGATTTTTGTTTGGTTATGAGAGACTCCACTTTACTGATTCAGCTGTTAAACTGGATTTTTCCAAGTTGGCGTCTTACACATTAATTTCACTCAACTTGCCCCTCCGTCTGACTGTTTTTTCCAAGTTATATACGCACATCTCTAAGGCAGAACCTCTTTGGACTCCGTGTAGCTCTCCATGGCCTCCTTGCTCTGTCGTTAGTTTGGAATGCAGTCCGAATTGCCAGTGAAATAGCAAAACTGTTTAAAATTCTAACGACTGGATCTTGTTAAACAAAGACAGTAATTGCTCCAACCAGAAAGTACCTCATAGTTCAAAAAGAGAGAGAAAGCAAGAGAATGAAAGGCAGGCACATAATAATAATCTTGGTGACTCCTTGCCCTCGATCTTTCATTTGTCATGAGAACGTGTGTTTCGGGTGGAATTTTTGAAATGCAAGTGGCCGTAGACACTTGGCATTTGCTTGACATTCAGTAAGAAATGTCCAGGAGTGCGTGACACTGATAGGTATTAAATGGGTCTTAAAAACAATATGGAGGCTTAAAAACAGTGTGTCCAGTCCCCTCGCTGTGCCCTTGGCTCTTCAGAGCTACTGAGAAGGCCTCCCGAAGCGGGGCTTATCTGTGAGCCTTCATAACCCAGCCGTGGAGTGAGAACAGAATACACAGGGTTTTCTTCTCAGGCCGCAGGTGAGCTCTCATGTGCAAGCCTAACAAACAGCGGATTGTTTACTGCAAGCAGTTAGCCCCAGACCCCTCCACATCTCTCTGGGGATTCCAGCTCAGTGGATGAGAATCAGTGTTATAGTAGTGAATCACCCGGACAAAGAGGTTAAATCGTGTTCAATTTGAGAAGGTCAGTGTAGGATACATTTTGAAAATTTTCAGTGAAAATCGTTAAGGTTGAAAATGCTTCTAATTAACATGTTAAGCTTCTGTTTTTCTGGGAAGCCCCTGGGTGCGGGTTGCTTCGGGGGGGCGGGCCCCCCACCATGTCCACTGGGTCACCCAAGTGCCTGCTTTGTGGCTTTCTCAAGTAACCTGCCGTGCGTGGCTCTGCATCTTCATTGTTCCCTCCCCGTCAGGATGACAACTGGGGAGAGACCACCACGGCCATCACGGGCACCTCGGAGCACAGTATCTCTCAGGAGGACATCGCCAGGATCAGCAAGGACATGGAGGACAGTGTGGGGCTGGACTGCAAGCGCTACCTGGGCCTCACCGTCGCCTCGGTGCTCGGACTTCTAGTTTTCCTCACCCCCATCGCCTTCATCCTGTTACCCCCCATCCTGTGGAGGGAGGAGCTGGAGCCTTGCGGCACCATCTGTGAGGGACTCTTTATTTCCGTGGCGTTCAAACTCCTCATTCTGCTCATCGGGACCTGGGCGCTGTTTTTCCGCAAGCAGAGAGCCGATGTGCCACGGGTGTTTGTCTTCCGTGCCCTTTTGTTGGTCCTCATCTTTCTCTTTGTGGTCTCCTATTGGCTTTTTTACGGGGTCCGCATTTTGGACTCCCGGGACCGAAACTACCAGGGCATTGTGCAATACGCCGTCTCCCTCGTGGACGCCCTGCTCTTCATCCATTACCTGGCCATCGTCCTGCTGGAGCTCAGACAGCTGCAGCCCACCTTCACGCTGCACGTGGTCCGCTCCACTGACGGCGAGTCCCGGTTCTACAGCTTGGGGCACCTCAGGTAAGCGGGAGCATCCAGGGAGGCGGGCAGGACGCCTGATGTCTCTCGCTAGAAGTCAGCTGGTCTTCAGCAAGTCAAAGGTGATGACAGGTGCCACGTGCCAGGACCAGGGTCTGGCTCCTCCCTTCAGGCTTCGAGAAGAGCTGTGTTGGGGGGTCGGGTTGCGGGGGGCGCGGTGACTTTTTGACTTTACATTGACTTTCCCGACTTCCGGAGGGGATGGTGCAGTTGCTGGCGCTCATCCAGGTTGGAGTTTAGTTGGGCTTGAGGTCAGAGTTGTTGGCAGAAAGGATACATAGCGACGGCTCCTGGCCCTGAAATGGGCCTGTGAACAATGGGTCGAGGGATTGGCGGATCCGTTTGCTCAGAAGGGCACATCTGGTTTACCCCGTTGTCTCCGGGGAATAATTAGTCGTCCCTCTTTCGTCCCCCACCCTTAGAGGTACTGCGGTTTGGGTGATCAATGACATGGTCACCCTGGTGGCCGTCCAGTAAAGAATCAAGTGTAGGTTCGAGACCTCAAACTTGTAAGGGTCGAGTGTTTGCCAGATATATGCACGAGAGAAAGAAATACGTTGAGCTATCGCGCTTTAAATCTGTGCATGAAGCCTGTTTCATGGTTAACTAAAAGAGTGATCGCCATCATTTATTTAATTTTATTTCTGTCCATCCCGAGGTCAGCCATTCGTATAGACTGTCATGTTTAATCTTCTCCGAACCCTTTGATTTAGGTCTTATTCATCCCCATAGTACAGATGAGGACATGGGGTTTTAGGGAATTTAAGGAATTTGTACAAAAATGGCGAGCCTCACGTAGGTTTCACCCGGGTGTCAGGACGCAAGGCCCACCTCGTGCCTCATCGTGGCGTCTCTCACTTCGTCTTCACTGGCCTATTTTCTGTTTCCTTCCACAAATGATAAACTCCCTGGGGAGAGGGGCTGTGTCTCATTGCATCCTCAGTGCCTCGCCAGGAGCATGACACACAGTTGGCCCTCGTGGTCACTGGGCGAATGGATCCCCTGGGATGTGTGACCGTGCCCTTACCTCGGGCTCCAGCCTCTTCAAGCCATATGTGCCAATATGTGTAACCTGCTTGGCTCCTCGAAGTACTTACTTCATCGCAGCCGTCATCACTGCACGTTCATAGCTGGCAAGGGCCCCTTAGTGGGCCTGAGAACAATGGGCTTTGTCATATTTCTGGCCGGGGCCCAGCAAGGTGGCGCGAGCCTCGTTCGGGGTCAGGTTTCCCCTGCAGCCATCCTGGTGTTGGTACCCATCTTCTTTCACCCTTGGACTCAGCTGGTACCCCCTGAGGACGGGGCGGTTTGGCGTTCAAGGCTGCTGCCCCTCTGACCCGTCCTTGGAGGGATCAGTGTCTGAGTCTCACGCTCCGTGCAGCAGAATCAGATGTTCGAGTCCTCTGCAGATGCCGTGGGGCTCAGAAGGCATGTAAGTCACTGCTGCGTATTCGTCTCAGACAGCTCGCTTTCCCCGTATTTCATGTTGGAGAATGACCAGCAGACTTGTCTGTTCCCTGCAAACCCAGGGCTGGGGCCCAGAGACATAGGATGGACGCCTTTGGAGCTCTTTTCTCAGACTCCTGGGGCTCATGGTCCCTCAGAGACCAGCACATCACTGTGCAGGGGACAGTGGCTGACACGGGCCTGGCATGGACGATGGGAACACAGGAGGACCAGGGAATTGCAGGCAGCAGCAGCAGTAAAGCCCTGTGGGAAGTGGGCTGTCTCAGGACAGGACAGGTGTAGCCGGTGTGAGAAGGCGGAGAGAAATCCGGCCCTGGTCCCAGGAGACAGGAGTGATATCTGGGACTCTGCAGCTGTAAGCAGCCAGGACACTGGCCATTAGTGAGGCCCACAGTGGTCTTGTGTTTTGGCCTCAGGCCTAGTAGGTGTGACTCCCACCTGTGGAGGTGAGAAAGGAGAGGGCGTCTTCTCACCTCGGGTGGCAGGGTGATGGGGCTGACTTCCTCCCTAAGGCTCCCCGCCCCCACCCAGATCCGTCAGACCGGATCTGGGTGGGGGCGGGGGGAGGCCCCACAGGACAGCTTCTGGCACCTGGAACTCACCGTAGCTCTGCCGGCCAGGAATGGATGACCTGGGCCAGGAGAAGCAGGACCGATTGCGCCGTGTGACCCGCAGGCTGGCTGCAAACCCTTGTGGTTGTCCTCATCTGACCAACAACCCCCCAGTCTTTATTTGCTGACCCTGAAGTCACTAACGCCCGGGAGACCCGAGGGTGCCACTTCTCTAGCAGCCCTGGAGGAGAGCGTTGCGGGTGGTCCCAGTATCTTCCTTTCGGCTCCTCTCCAAGGTCCAAGGCCCTTTGTTTCCACCCCCCCTCTTCAGTAAGGCCCCCTTCGTCCCTCACGTGGAGACCCTGGTTATGGGATGGAAAATGGCTGAAGAGGGAGAGACATCTTTATTCACAAATCGAGCCCTCAGGCAGGGCCAGCTGCCCTGTGACAGCCGGTGTGTGGGAGCAAGGACACGCCCGCTGGCACCGTGTGGGCTCTGTCACCTGCCGATCCTTGGGCTCGATCTGGTCCAAACCCAGCAGTGGCGGGAAGAGTCACTGGGCCAGGAGGATAACTAACTTCTAAGCCCTTTTGCAAAGTATAGAAACAGGAGGGAAGGGGGAACCAGAATGAACAGAGGAGCAGGTCCTGGGGTGACGGTAGCCAGTCCCCCACGCGACAGGAGTCCCAGGCTGTCCCACTCACCCTTTATGTAAAAACGTCCCCACCGCCGTGACTTGTTGGGCTGAGCTGCAGAGCGAGCGTGAGTTCTCTTTTCATTTTGTTTTCAAAGATGATTTTATTGAACCGACGGAGCTATTTTTGAGAGTGGTCAAAAGAATCCCTATTCTTTAGTTTCTTAAAGAAAATCTGCTTCTTGTTAGCTCTCCTACAAGGTCCTCGCCGTGGCCCTGCTTGTTGGCCAGCGTGGAGTCATGGCTTATTTGAAAATGTTCCGAAACGTAAAAGGTTATTTTTGTACAAAGTGAGAGACCATAAATAGCTTAAGAGACTTCCTGACTTTTTCCTGGTGCCTTCGAGATGGCAGAGGGCTTCGGGGGTGTTGGATCTCATTCATTCTCCCACCCTGTCAGGGGTGGGGGCCGGTGGACCTGCTCGAGGCTGCAGGGAACCACCAGCCTCCTGGGGGTCACACTCCCGTGCTCTCCGCGGCGTCCTGGGGTCTCAGCCCATCCGTAATTGTCCACGCACACCTCACTTGTCACTTTCCTCGGCCCTGTTCTCACAATGAGTTGCTCGCTTTTCCAGGATTTCACCAAAGACTAGTGAGTTGATCTGACTGTACATGGAGAGAAAGCCAGAAGAAAAAAGACTAAAAATGACATTTCATTATCCTGATTGATAATTTCTCACTTTTGCAATCTTTACAGGTGAATACTGTGAATATTGGTGCGTAGAAGCTAGTGTGACTGACTGACCAACTCGGAGATGTGCGCCATGAACTTTAACCATGCACAGTCCTTACCGCGTGCCAGGCACCTTCTAAGCTCTTAACTTATAACTCGTTTAATCCTAACGGCCCTGCGAGGTCGGCACTGTCATCCACATCCTCAGACGAGAAAACAGGCCCAGGAGAGTTAAGTGGATGGCCTGTGGCCACGCAGTTTGTGGTTGTGGGAGGCAGGATTTGAGCCCAGGCCGTCTGGTTCCAGAACGATCTGAACCGTGTCACCATAGTGCCTCTGCATAGATGGGTCCATGTTCTTATTGTTGCTTTAAGAACGCGCGAAGGAGCTCATAGCATTTTTGAGTGCTTAACTATGTGCCAGACTGGATACTATTTTTTTTTATACATGATCCTATTTCATTTAACTCAGCTTCAGGGCTGGAAAGGAGAGAATGAGGGGACAGTCAGGGTTTGGCTGGCTCTTACTCCGCAGGCATTCCCGAGCCCACTGGTTTTTTTAATTCAGTCAGCAAACAAAGCCTGGGCCTTATAACCACAGCAGTTTGAGCCCTTGTCTGCTCCTACCTTTTTAACTGTCTATATGTCAGTTGTCCCAAAGAAGAACCTCTTTTTATCTATTGCTGTATAAAACCGCCCCCACACTTAGTAGCGCAGGGCAACATTTTATTATTTTATTACCGTTTCTTACAGCTCTGTGGGCTGGGCTCAGCCAGGAGGTTCTTTTCCCAGCCTGGCTAGTGGTCCCCATGTCATTGCTGTCATGTCGCGAGGCAGTGGGGCCTCTCTCTCTTCCCACATGTTCCGGGGTTCGCACCCTCCTCGGAGGGCCTCCCCTTTGGGGAGTAGTTTCTTATTAGGGTAGCTAGACTTCCCAGGGCTCCCAAGAACACAAAAGCAGACACTCCCAGGCTCTTTAAGGCTGAGGCCTGGACCTGGCCCGGGACCACTTGCCCTGAACTCTCTTGTTCACGTGAGTTAGAGCCCCCGCCCAGGCTGAGGAAAGCGACCGCAGAAGCGGGGACACTGGGGTCTGCAGCGACTCCCCAGCTGCCTCAGGGTCTCGTTCTCAGAGTCTGCTTGTTCTTACTTTGCATACAATTCTCACAGATTTAATTATTGACTTCTATGCCTCAAAAAGCCCAGAAGAAGCATCTTTCAAGTGGGAGAAACAGCTCTGTACTATAGGAGGCCCATGAACATCAGTGAAAAGTGATGATAGCTGATAGTCATCGGCAAGGGGCGAGACGGAGGCCACAAAAGCCGATGGAACGCTTGCCCCAGCCCTCTGGGAATTCACAGTGACCCGTTCTCTAAGATACTCATTCTGCCGAAGCTCCATTGTATCTAATTCAGCCAGCAGGTTTTGAGTGGGTTTCTCAGCATACTTCATTCATTCGAGACTAAGTATCTTATAAACTGGCATTGACCATGGACCTTTTTATTGAAGGTTGGTTTACTGATCACAGAACCACCTGTGCTTTAGAAGCAGTGACTCTGGGCTTGCTTTTCCAACAGTGAAAGTTTATGATTGTGCA